CCCCCGGGACCCTGCCGTGGGGGATCCGGCCTTTTGAAAGGCAGAGAAAGCTTCGCAGGGTCGCCGTCTGCCCGAGCCCTCGCACCCGCCCCAGCAGAACGTCCCCTAGCATCCTTTGGGCTGACGTTGATGCGCCCGTCGATCCCAAAGAAACCCGCCCCAAAGTCTGCCCTGCAGGTAGTCCTTTCACTCTTGCATCGTGGACTAAACGTTTCGGGGTGTGTTTTCAAATCCACCCCCCCCCCCCACCCGGAGAGTTTGAAAGAAAGATAGGTGCGATGGAGTCCACGTGGGGCCCTACGCGTGGTTATAGGATCTGGGCTTGCTTAGGGTCAGGGTCTTCCTTTAACACTGACCTCCCCCACGTAAAAAAAAACGTAAGCCAATTGTCTATTTTAGCGGTTTGGTAAAAGCGTAGGGTTCAGACTTGTTCAGATTCCATTAAACGAATCGCATTCCTGGTTTCAGAGATACTGCCTTTTAAAACCGGTTGTTTAGTGCAACTTCTAAGTCCAGTCTTCCCCCAACAGCAAGTCTCCGCTCTCAGTCCGTTCTCCAAGGTCCCTGGTTTCCTTTTCGATGTAGTCTCTGAAACCTCGCCAGACTTCACAGTCCACCTGGGTCCTGAAGCCCTAAACTGGACACGAAGGACCATTGTGTTAATCCGTGGGTGCTGGCACACCGCGGGAGAGAAGGCCTGATGTTTGATGTTGCCAGGTTTGAGGGGAAAAGTCATCAATCAATGTCATTCCAAGTTGGAAAAATACTCGTTTCGACCATGCTCAGCACGGTTCAATGTGAACGTCTTTCCCCATGCCAGGAGGGCGATGGGGCAGGCCCACTGACCAGCCCCCCATAAACTGTAGTGCACAGATAACCCGTTTCCTGCGGTCATTGTCATCAGGGGTTGTCTTTTACATCATGTTTATAGTGTGCCTGCCCTTCTTTTCCTCAAAGAGTTAGGACCATCTTCTGTTGTCAGTTTGACAGAACAGATTCACAGCTGAAATTTCCTGGCACCCAAGAGCTCAAACGCCCGTGTGCACAAGATTCTCATGGGTAGCTGGCTTGTTACTCCAGCTTTACTGACCCTTCTAAGCCCCGCGTGATGGTGAAGATCTATGATGGGGCCCAGAGAGACCCCAGGTGAGTGTGAACCAGGTGGTTCAGGAACTACCTTATGGCGTCTTACTTGACTATCATGACTGCTTCGGTATCAAACGTGTCTATTCCAAATTACAGGTGTAAAAATCTCATCCTTCTCCCAAGAGGCAACTGGTGGTTTTGAACTCCTGACTTTTGCAGTTAGCAGCCCAACAAGTAACTTACCTACGCCGCTGCCAGGGCTCCTTAGATGGGAGGTAAGGATCGTCATAGCATGTCACGGTGTTGTTTCTGGAGTGGGTTATACCTCGGGTCGTGCACATGTCGCTGAAAGAAATCACATCACGGAAGCACTTTTGTAATCCAAGTGTGTTTTTATGAAGGAAAGGAAACGTTTTGGGTTTTATCGTCTCCACAGGGTACAGGCTATTGCTGGAAAGCATGCCAAGTGGTGCAGAAGGCACACGGGTTCACTACTGGCCGTGGCAAACCACACGTGTGGAACTAGGGAATCCCCAGGGGCCAAGTGACCAAGAGAGTGCAGGCCCCGAAGTGGCTCTTGGGTGATCCACATACAGCCACTTACAGAATAAACCTGAGCAAGACCAGAATTAAGAGCAGGCTTTCCTGCAGCCAGGGTATTTCACACCTGTCTGGGGAGGTGTGGTTGGAGGTACTGGTTGACCCATTGGCTGAGTTTAGGCCCACCTATGTGATGTCTTGGTCCTAGGTGGAGGCTAGGTTTCCCCTGAGCTAGGGGGCTTAGTTTGCACATGCCCAGTACTGGATTTCCTCCATAGGTGTCCACTGATTGTGCCTGGTTTCTCTCCAACCCCATTAGGTGGCCCTGCTGCCAGGCGATTTCAGCTACTACAGGCATTTGGGGGAGACAACCCCACTTTGTCCCTCACATAGCAGCTACCTTTCAACAGTAGTTGTTGCGATGCAAGACACCCACCAACATAAAGCGCTAGCAATGAGAACATGGGAACATCATCCACGTCTGGGCATCCCAAGGCTACCAGCAACGTGAATAGATCATGTATAGATTGGGGCGATAATGTTTGAGAAAGACTGTGTCTGATCGGGGTTTAATCTCCAGAATAGATAAAGACCCACTGAACGCCACAAGAAAAACGGATTTAAAAGTGGGCCGAGGACCTGAATATACCTTTCGCCAAAGGACATATACAAGTGATAAACATGTGAAAAGATTTCCGACCTCCATAGTCTCTGTTGGCATGTGCCGTGGGGCTGGTTCAGAGGTGTAGCAGTCCCCCAGGGCACACTAGTGGTGTGCTATTGGTTTTCTAGAATACAATCTTTATGGGAGCTGACCCCCCCAGTCTATTTTCTGTTGGAGGAACCGATGGGTTTGAACCACCTACCTTCTGGTGAGCAGCTGAGCACCACCCAACTGTGACCCCAGGGCTCCTTTGAGTCATGACAAAGATGCCCGTCAAAACCACAGAGATAGCACTTCACCTCCACAACCAAACAAATCTTCCCACTCGCAAACAAAACCCACCACACAAGTATCTCCCTCTCACCAGGTCCATTCCAACTCATGGCCGGCAGTCCTGTGCTACACAGTAGACTGCTCTACGGGGTTTCCTGGCTAAGAACAGCCAGAATGCTGCTTAAACGTGAGGGTGGCGTGACTTCATCTCTTTTGCTTTGGACCTGTTACCAGATGGGCCCAAGCCCTGGAGAAAGGCATTGTGGTAGTTACATAATGTGGTGTCAATTTGAGGATTCAGAGTGAATGCGGTGGAGTGTAGCCTGTCAATCAGGTAGTTGTTTGATGACCTCATTTGGAGGCATGAAAAGGAAATAAATAGCTCTTGGAGGCAGGACACAGGCTGACTCCTCGAGAGACATTGCAGCTGACAAGACACATGGAACTACCCTAGTATCCTGAGTGGGAGGAGCCACGTGGAGACCCCTGCCATGCTGAGATGCTTACACATTCACTAACTCGACTTTCCTCCTGCAGTCAGTGTCATTGTGTGTGTTTTGTGAGATGGAGGAGGACTTTGTGGACTGGCATTGGACATTTGGTTTAATGGGTTAATGTTAGACTTGTGGCCTTGGGCAGCACTGGGTTGGGATGTTTTCTTGATGTGCATGTACTTTTTATAAAAAACTCTCTTAGGCATACGTTTCTGTGGATTTGTTTCTCTAAAGTACCCAGACAGACACTAACGGGTTTGGACTAGGGCTTTTCCTAGTAATGAATCTCATGACTTGAACCAGTGAATTCTAAAGTCAAGGTACTGATGTCTCAATTTTCTCATCTGTAAAAGGGGTGTGTGTGTGTTTGTGTGCATTTCTGCTCCACTGCACATGATGGTGGGAAAGAGCATGCAAAAGAGTCCTTTGAAAAATGCTGTAACAAAATGGTTGCAGAGGCAAATATGGTGAAGAAAGCTGATGGGGCCCGGCTATCAAAAGATATAGCGTCTGGGGTCTGGAAGGCTTGAAGCTAAACAAGTGGCCATCTAGCAGGGAAGCAGCAAAGCCCACATGGAAGAAGCATGCCAACCTGTGTGATCATGAGTTACCGATGGGATTAGGTAACAGGAATTAGAAGACCCAAAACAAGCAACCATTTTGATTCAAACAGGGGGGTTGTAATGAAAACCATCTTTAGACAACTGGACATCCCTCACAGAAGGGTCACAAGGAAGAGATGAGCCAGCCAGGGTGCAGTATAGCACTGACCAAACATACAACATTCCTCTAGTTCTTTAACTCTTCCTCTTCCCTACTATCATGGCCCCAGTCTACCTTACAAATCTGGCTAGATCGGAGCATGTATAGTGGTACAGATAAGAGCTCTCAACACACAGAATCCAGGATAAGCCCCTCAGGAACAATAATGGGAGTAGCAATACCATGAGGGTAGGTGGAAGGTGAGGGAAGAAGGGGGAGAAAGGGAGAACCAATCTCAATGATTGATGTGGTAACCCCCCCACCCCGCCCAGGGGACGAACAACAGAAACGTGAGTGAAAGGAGACAATGGATGGTGTAAGATATGAAAATAATAATAATTTATACTTAATCAAGGAGTCACAAGGGTGGAAGGGGAGGGGAGGGAGGGGAAAAATGAGCTGATACCAAGGGCTCAAGTAGAAAATTTTTTGAAAATGATGATGTCGACATATGTGCAAATGTACTTGATGCATGGATTATTGTAAGAGCTATAAGGGCCCCCAATAAAATGATTCTTAAAGAAATAAAATGCCGGAGCACCATAAAGTATTAGTGATTGGGTGTGATGTGAAAACGTGTGGCCAAATGCCTGCAAAGTCACTTGACATGAAAGTGACAGGGTGTCAGCTTTTTAAGGTGAATGTAAAGCAGTCTCTCAGACATTCATAATCTTAGGACCCGTTCGGGTGGGATGAGCGTGGATTCAAAGAAAATTATTAAAATCATGGTATTTCCCAATGAAAAGAGGTACTATAGCTTGAACTGTTCCTTTTCTGATATCCTGTCATAAAGCTGTAAGAATACAAACATATGTCTCTGAGACTCTAATAGCTAATCAATACACTTGCATTTCTCTATCACCCCGTTTGCCACCTTTCACTTGTAGCTTCCTTGTATTTTTCCTTCTGGAATTATCTTGTGTCACAACTGCAGTCAGAAACGACCTATCCACCGAGTTACTCGATGAAGTTGGACTTGAAGTACAGAAGGGAATGTCATTCTTTGTCCTGAAGTATGGTAATAAAAATCTAAAAGCCTTTCAGCCTGGGAGTGATGTTGAAATACATAAACATAAGGCCCTTACGTGACTCAGGGCCTAGTCACAGGGTCATTGGTTAGAATCTGGATGGCACTCACCGCGGCAAAGGCCAGTAAGAACGATGACGGGAATTTTGCTTTTCCTTAGTGCTGAACAAAACATTTCATACATGTTACCAGCACCGAGGAAAAGTGGAAAAAATATTTTTGTCCCTAAGATTCAGAAGGTGAAAGTTGCTATCTTTGGCGGACTTTTTAATGAAATTTCTCTTTAAGTACAGAGGAAATATAGATGCAAACAACTGTACCCCGAAGTGAAGCCAACGTCTCATGATCCAATTAGCTTCTCAAACCCAAACCCATTGCCTATGATCTTGATTCATCACAACCTTATAGCACAAAACAGAACTGCCCCGTAGGGCAGCCAAGAGCGGAAACCATGACAGAAGCAGACGGCCACCTCTTTCTCCGCTGGAGTGGTGGGTGTGCTTGAACGGCTCCCCTTTGGGGCAGTCAAGCCCTTTAGCCACTGTGCTACCAATGCTCCTCCAGTTCGCAAACCCACTAACCCTTTTTGTGACTTCTTGTTTGAAACAGACTGGTTCGAACACGTAGTCATAGAGCCAAGAAAGCAACGCTTTGTATCGTTCTTGCAGATAAAGTAAAGTGCTGCACTTGGTGATATTCTCTATGATTACATTTTCATTAGTCATTAACCTTCCGCGAGGAACATGCTGCCAGTTGGTTGACGTCTGCTATCTTGCAAATAATGCCAGACATGAGTCAGCGGCAGCAGTCCTGTGCTGGGCGGCTTCAGAGATAGCCGCCCACTATCTCCCCATCTGACCGGAACAGGAATTGGACAGCTTCAGGATATGAGAAGAATGTGTCCATGTGTTCTTCTCTGAGTCCTGGCAGCAGACCTCGACTCTCTTGGCCACCATAAAGCAGGCATTGAAAGGACACAGCTGCGGGAAGCAGGGGCTAAGCACTAAATAAACCTACAGGGCTTGCTGCAGAAGTCATGGACACCACACTCATACAACACCCGGCGGTTATGAATGAACAGATTAACATTTAATGGTGCTGTGGTAGCTTATGCAAAATTAATTGGGGCCTCAGCCAGTGCTGAATTTCTAATAGATGGATGTCCCCTTAGAGAGAGAGAGAGACTTCTTAATTGACAGCATTGGCTGGTGTCTTGGGGAAAGGAATGAGCAAATGCAAGGGAGGTGTGCTATTTAGTCCCTTAGCAGTGCCTGGGTCCTCTTCAGCTTAGAGTTGATGTATACCATTCACTGGCAATATTCAGAAACAGATCCCTCTAGTGCCTGGTTTGAGGTTGTGTTTTAGAGGTAGGACGTCAAGGGAGCTTGGAAAAGGGAGATGTCATTGGAGATCGAGAATGGCCTTGCATGGGAAAGATACCGAGAGCGATAATTCCCCAAATCTTTTGACTCACTTTATATTCAAAACAAGAAAGATGGTGCTGTGATTCATTAACCTTGAGACACAAGGAGAGAGGAAATTAAATGGATCTCTGTGTGGTACACTTCTGGGAGGCTTTCC